ATGGTGGTGTGGATCTGTTGCCTGGAGAAAGACTTCTCGACCTTGAGTATGCGGATGATATTGTCTTACTGTGCGATAATGCCCAACGCATGCAATCCGCACTTAATCAGTTGGCAATCAGTGTCCGTAGGTATGGTATGTGCTTTGCATCTTCGAAGTGCAAAGTACTTCTACAAGACTGGCAGGATTCCAATCCTGTACTCACCCTGGATGGTGAGCAGATAGAAGTAGTCGAGAAGTTCGTGTATCTGGGTAGCTGTATAAGTGCTGATGGGGATGCGAGTGATGAGATCAATGCACGTACAGTGAAAGCCAGAGCGGCTTATGTCCATCTGGGCCATCTCTGGCGCCTTCGTGATGTTAGTCTAGCTGTAAAAGGTCGGATCTACAACGCGTCGGTGAGAGTAGTCTTGCTCTGTGCTTATGAAGCCTAGCCTGTCTGAGTTGAGGATGTCAGACGACTCTCTGTGTTTGATCATCGTTGTCTCCGAAGGATTGCTGACATTCAGTGGCAACACCATGTCAGTAATGCAGAGGTTCGGCATCGTGTGTTCGGGAGCAGAGACGGTCATTCGGTTGGTGTCACCATCTTGAAACACCGACTTCGGTTACTTGGACATGTTCTACGAATGTCGTCCCAGAGAATTCCACGTCGTGCATTATTTGCCGACTCTGGGACTGGTTGGAAGAAGCGGAGAGGTGGTCAGTATATGACATGGTGTCGTGATATGAAAGAAAGCTGCAAAGGACTGGCTTGTGTTGGTCCTTCACGACTCCCTGGTTGGGGTCCGAGAGATGGTACAACACAGTGGCTAGAGACGTTATCAGATATGGCTCAGAATAGAAGCCAGTGGTGATCCTGCTGTAACCTTCTTTTACTTTCTTCATAAAAGGTGGTTGTATCTTCCTTAACTGAAAGATTTCTTCTGATTGTACTTTTCCGTTTCCCCATTATTACTATCATTATTATTACACTACCTTACACCAATCTCTTCGTTATTGTTCTCTTTTTTACGCTCCTTACCTTGTTTCTTCTTCTTTCTCTTTAAATTCTCATTGTTTTGTGTGGCGCATATATATTTGGCGCTCTCTTGTACCAATATTTATGCGTTCAAATAAAATAAAATAAATAATAATGTTTCGATGGTGGATGGGTTCAGTGGGACTGGTCAACTCAAGAGTTCTTTGAAGTGCTCTACCCACCTGTTTCGCTATTCTTCAGTGTTGGTGATTACTTTGCCTTTCCTACGTTTCACCAGTTTTTCTGGTTTACGCCAATTTCCAGCGAGTTTCTTCGTTGTGCCATACAATTTCCTTATATTACCTTCTATTGCAGCCTTTTCCGCCTTCACTGCTAAATCTTCCACATATTTACGTTTGTCGGCTCTGATGCTCCTCTTGACTTGCTTGTTTGCTTCTTTGTATTTAGCTTGTGCCCTGGCTTCCTCTGCTCTTGTTCGACTGATATTGATTGCTGCCTTCTTGTTCCACTTTTCTTGAATCTTATCCAGTGCATCGACGGTTATCCATTCCTTGTAATGGTTCTCCTTGTGGCCCAGAACCTCATGACATGTTGAAGTGATTGCCTCCTTGATCCCTTTCCAGTGGTTCTGTATGACAGCCACTTTTCCATTGAGTAAATCGTGAAAGGCCTGGAACCTATTGCTGATGACTATCTTGAATTCGTTGAGTCAGTCAGTGTCCCGAAGGCCATATTAAACTTTAATGATGCTGCCCTCTCCGTTGTTCAGCGCTTCTTGAGTTTCAGTTTTATCTTGGCGACCAACAAGTGATGGTCTGTGGCTAATATCAGCTCCTCTCTTGCTTCTCACGTCCTCCATCGTCCTTCTAAACTTTTTATTGATGCAGGTATGGTCGATTCGGTTCTTCGAAGTATAATCCGGTGAAGTCCATGTGGTTTTGTGTATACATTTATGTAGGAACATAGTGCCGCCTATAACCAGTTTATTAAAGGCACATAGGTTTGCAAATCTCTCACCATCTGCGTTTCTATCTCCCAGTCCATGTCGTCCCATGGTGTTTTCATATCCGGTGTTGTCCATTCCGACCTTAGCATTTAGGTCTCCCATTAGGACGGTCAAGTCCTTTGTTGGGAACTTCTCGACGATTGACTGCAGCCTATCGTAGAATTGATCTTTAGCGTCTTCATTGTAGTCGTTGGTAGGCGCATAGCATTAGATAACGTTCATTGTAATGCCCTCTTTCTTTGTTTTGAAGGAGGCTTTGATCCATGAAATGCCAATCCTATAAGTACATTTTGTGCTTGTTTGGATAGCACCAATGCAACTCCTTGTGTATGTGAGGCATTTCCTTCTTCATGGCCGGAGTATAACAGAAGCTCCCCTGAAGCTAGCCGTTGTTGTTCAATCTGCGTCCAATGTGTTTCACTGATTCCGAGCACATCCAGATTGTATCTCTTCATTTCTGCAGCAATTTGGAAGACTCTCCCGATCTCCCACATTGTACGAGCATTTCATGTAATGGTTGCTCCGGTTGTCAGAAGAGCATCAGCCTAGTGACTTCCGAAGGAACTCGGCTTTCACCATAAGGCGTCATAACTCCCCTAAATGAGGACCTTCTAACGCCCAGAGTGGGATTTAAATGGTTTGAATTATTTTTCCCTGGTTGGTGTTTTTATAGCGAGTTAGTTATATACAGGATGGAGTGGTCAACTCCATGCCCAACCTTCCTCCTTCATCCGGGCTTGGAACCGGCAGTAGCCTCAGAGGGGCTCAAGGCGGAGTTCTTAGTCAATGTAGATATAACTAAAGGCATTTATACCAACACAAAATAACAAAATCCTTAAAATCAAAAGATTACAGTAGAACTGTACTTCGGATATTGTAAATACCCTATCAACTATAAGCAAGTGGGTAAAGCCACAGAATTCTACAGTAAATCCACAAGTTGGTCATAATTTTTTGTGATTGTACAGGTTTCTCAAAAGGAATTTGTAAGCCTTCATTGTTAGTAAAATCATAGAAGTTAATTTGCCAAAGAAATTACAACATGAAGTAGCATGATTTATTGAACGACGATGTTATACAATCCCTTGTATACAGTCATAAAAATAGGAATTGTGTAATCTAAAACTCTACTTTTAAAAATTCCCTATACCTTTCTAGATTTTATGAACAGGGTGATTTGAAACTGTATTTTTCCACAATAACCAAGGTCCAGTCTTAAATTATAATAAATTTTGATGAAAAGAGAGTAATATAGTGATGTCAAACCCCGACTTCTTTCTTCAAACTCGTAGGATTAGTTGTTTTACGAATCCATTAGGTCACTTTTAACTAATCCGACTGATTATAACACTAACATTAGAATTCTGTGGTAGATGTCTCTTTAACTTGTAGTGACCTACTTTTATGAAGAGAACACGATTGGTATAATGGAAACAATTGTCACCATAACCAGTTGTACTAGTGATTGTTTTACTGTACCTGTTTGTTTAAGTGTACTAAAAACACACATACCTCCGTTGTGTGTGACCTTGCACGAACTCGTGTACGCTCAGTAGTCCCGCTTGTAAACTTTGGCACGACCTCGGTATTCTTTTGATACCACGAGATCGCCAACAAATACATCTTACTACAACCTCCAACTGCCTTCTGATATTTGGTCTACGGGGGGGATCTAACCTGGTAACTGCCAAGTAGTCTTGCTGTAGTGGTGATCATAGTCAACGGCGACTCGGCTCCACACTATAAAACTGACAATTACACCCTCTGTTTACTCAAATTATTTCCGTGAAACAGCATTTACACTAACAGATACAAAACTCATAGCAAAACTTTCCGTTCTAGTCTCCTATAAAGCACGACACAACACAACACATATTTTTGCCGTGATGCACCTTTCTGATTGCTTTGCATTTCTCAATGAACAGACATTAAGCAACAATTCATAATTACAGCATCGCATTGAATACAGCCTGATAATAAGTTCACGAACAGTATTTCTTAGATTCATTCTTCCTTTTCTGTGTAAAGTGATCCAAAACAAATTTATAAACAAGTACCGGTTCGTTTACGTGGTTTCAGCCATTTTTATACAAAACAAGTGATACCAATTAACCTCCTGAATCAAAATGCATATAGCAGAGTTATGAAGTGTAATCGTGTTTAACCAAATAAGCCACCTCTCCACAAATAACATTTAGCTGAACATCTTGTGTGACTGGACCGTGGAGACGCTTTTTTGCAGAGGAATCTCTGCACATTAATTTTGCTTAATTCGTAAGATTGTGAATATGTGCATCCAGATCACTTATTTCCACTATATTGAGCGTAAAATAAGCTTTGTTCCACCACCAAGTTACGAAATGAACATTCAAAAATCTACACCCAAACTGTAAAGTTAACTGTTAGACTATACAAGCATGTACTTAGTTGGCAATTCACTCACTCTAATACACTTAGATCTTTTGTAATCTCAAGATCAAATATTTGAGGTTATTCTTTAGTTTAATCAGAATTAACCATAGAATGTGTATCTAGTTAAGAAATAATCGATAAAGAAACAGGTAACTATTTTCCCCAAAAGGAAATAAATACTACATGATCCATGAAGTAAACGATCCAAAGTTAACTTTTGGAAATATAATTTATGTTTGAATCCAGTGACCGTGAAATCATGTGACTTTTGATCATTGAGTTTAACCCAGAAGTGTAGTGCTAGAATTGAGTAATAAATTCCAGAAGTTCTCGTCTGGATTAAAAGTGGATAACACTAATTCAATATGAAAATACACCACTGAATCATAGATAACTAACGACGCGGCACAAATAAGTGTCGGCCCATTTTAGCAGTGCACAGAACTTAAGGAGAGGACTTCAAAATGACTTCATATAAAAACGTTCTAAATAAGACTCTAGCCCAATTCAGTACCATCTGCATACCTTTATGAACGGTAAAAGTTATACAACTCATGTATGTATATACGTATGAAAATAATTACGAGCATAAGAACTTACGTTTTTAGGAAGAACCAAGAACAAAGCAGCTGTAGCAGTGACGAAAACTAGAGCGACCAAAAAGTAAACTAACCCATTAGTGGTCGCTGAGGAAGAAGCCGCAATAGATACAATATTAGCCAGAGATGCAAGAATACCAGATACAGCCTGAAATAAAAGACATTCGACATAGGAGCAGGTTTAAAACACGATAAGAGGCAGAAGACATTGGAGGGGTGGAAGTCTGGATGCTAACTGAAAAATTATACAGACTATACAAAGTAAAATAATCGTATATAATGTACTCAATAATAAGTACATGACACAAATCTCCCAGGGACTTAAAGGACAAAAGTGAAGGTATATGTGATGTGTCATGGTATGACTTATCATCCTATACATATCATAACAGCAACTGCAACTCAAGTCTAAACATGAAATATAGAATACGTGAGAAAAAAATAAGATATTATAGGCAAAACTAGATTGTGTGTCAGTAAAATAAGCAGATAATTGACACCAAAATTCGGGTATAAAACTTAGGTGTACGTACAACAAGTTATATTGTATACGCTTGATAAGTCTGACATGTAAGCTTGTACATAGAACTTCATTATTATCCAGTAAGCGACACCAAACCTTTTAAAGTCGAAGTGAAGTTAAATGCTAATGAACATTTGCAGAGCAGTAGTCATCGGTGGGATAAACCTATTACAGCTGACTTGTTACGTCCTACTTAATTAATTATCAACTGAACCGATTAAAAATATACCTCTTGCGAATTAACCCAAGCAGTTAACTAAAACATAATTATACACTGAAAAACGTTTCCACATAATCCCAATATTTTCCCATCTCTTACACAGAGTTTCAATGGCTCTTTGTACAGTTCGGAGGGAATTCTTGTTACGAAAAAACATAATGGTGAGATCTTAGTTTAAGGACGAATCAATCAGGTGTAAAATAGCGAGTATGGATTTTGGCGCGAAATTCATTCATCCTTATGGTAAAGTAGCATTTTGGCATTATAGTTGATGTCAGTTCATGATAAAAACCCGAACTATAATTCCTAACCTTAAATTCCGACTTAAATCTTGGTCCTAATCTCTCAAGTTAAGTTGTAACCCTCTTTAGACCATAGTAGGTTAATGGATTCCCTCAAAGTCACTTGGGAGTCGCTTAACAGTTGTCTATAAATTACAATCTCACTGACAGAACCATTCAAAGACTAAGAAATGTGAAAATTCTGTCTGCTTGTAAGACGTTAATACTGGGACTTACCTGTCCTTCTAAAGCAGCCTTCATATGTTTGGAAGGAAGTATGGCTGCTACACCAAATACGCTACCTTGAGCAAGAGCACTACCACCTATATAATATCGTATTACAAAGCTAAATAAATTACAGTTAAGGAACACAACCGAAATAAGTGTTATGGACAAAAACGCATAAGCGCCTAAAATAAATATCAGAGTAGTGTATGTAACCTACTGAGATCGATATAAACAATGATAACCGTGATGAGAAACACGATGAACACCAATACGCTACCAACAGCAAATCGGGAAAACGGGGAGAACCTGCAGCAGAGTAAATTATATGGACATATATCTGACCATTTCATCAGCAGTAAATTGGCAACCATCATGATGGATAAAGGGACCAAAGAGCAAACTGCCAAATAGCTGCCGAACAGAACTTGAGAACGTGTCATATATTTGGGGTCTGTGTAATCAGCGTCTGGAGGGAGGGTCTTGTCTCTCATTTTGTAATCAAAATACTGTGGAGTGAAAATATATAATCAACGTACCCGTTGTGCATTAATGAAGAAGTTCCATGGTAAGAGCCCTCCCAAACCACACATAAAGAATATTATATACACCAAATTATATCTGGAACTGTTATAGAAATCTCTGAATACCTATCAGTAGGTGAATATCCTTTTTCATCTTTTACCCCGGACGTCATCGATATATTTTAACTACTGGTATTACAGTGATCAACGCTCAACCACGAAAAGTGGACCCAACTTTGCTTTGTGCGGGATGAACTCAAGGAGAGCTTTTAAAGTTTTCAGCATCCAATATCTTTGGCACGAACTTGTATAAACCACTTAATTTCCTTGAGGTCGCATCTTATTATTTTGATGTGGTTCGGTATCCAATGGATGGTTGTCTAGCCACTCGATTAAACTAGTTCTAGTTAGTGTGCTAGTGTGCCCTTGCTAATATATGGAAGGCAGATATGGTGGCAATCAACTCCGCAGCATCGGCTGAGAATTGGGAAATTGACTAAAGAGAATCAGTAAAAGAAGCATGGACTCATTTCAAGAAGTTGTACAATCGAGAAACTCAACCATACATACCCTGGACAGTCCCAAAGAAGAAGCATGGCTGTCCCTGGATAGGCCGTGATATTCGACGCTTACTAAGACAAAAGAAGAAATGCTGGGATGTTGCCATCCGCCTTGGCACAGCAGGTTCGATGGAATGCCAAATATCGGTAAGAAACACGTGTGTAACTAATATTCGGGAAGCTAAAAGAAAATATGAAATGCAGTTGGCACCATTTGTACTCAAGCAGCCCAAGAGAATATTCTCGCACACAAACTACAGAACGAGGATGAATCATGGGATTCCCAACCCAATTAAGGAAGAAAGTGAATCTGAAATGATAGAAGATGATCAAGAAAAAGCAGAGACTATGGCTGACTATTTTATGACAGTTTCCACTCGGGAACCTCCTCTAGAGAAAGATCCAGACCAAAATAAACAGTCAACAAACCACCTGCTCACCGTGGACTTCGATCAAGACGATGTGCTTAAGGCTATTAGCACCTTAAACATAAAAAAAACAAAAGAGTCAGATAAACCACACCCTAAAATCTTGAGAAATATTGCGCATTATAACGCGGCCCCACTGACTGTAGTATTCTATATGTCACTTGACCAAGGTGCGTTACCTACAGACTGAAAGGACGTAATCTTCACCGCCATACATAAAACAGAATTAAGACAACTTACACCGAACTACAGACCAGTAAGCCCCACCAGTTTTGTAGCCAAAATTTTAGAAGGAATAGTCAAACAGACCATAATGACATTTGTGGAAGCCAATAACCTGTTAAACATCAAACAACATGGTTTTAGAAAGGGTTTGTCTTGTACAACGAACCTCCTTATAGCAATGGAATTTCGGATAAAAGGGCTAAACAGCGAAAACTCAGTGCACGTTGTCTACATAGACTTCAGTAAGGCTTTTGACAAGGTGCCAACTAATAGACTGCTATTGAATTTAGAAAACCTTGGTATTGCCGGACCTCTTTTAAAATGTCTTATGGATTTACTAGTAGGTCGTAGACAGAAAGTAAGAATAAATTCCAAGTGCTCCATCTGGAGACCAGTACTTACTAGAGTACCTCAAGCTTCCGTCCTAGGTCCTTTACTTTTTACACTGTATGTAAATGGTCTTCCAAGTATAATACAGTCCCCAATATTATTCAAATGGTTCAAATGGTTGTGGACGAAATAGAAGAAGCTTTCGCTCAACAGGCTTCCGTGTCTAGTAGCAGGGGATCACCAAATCCTGAAGGAAGGAACCTAGGTATGTTAACAATAAAAGAGGAAAAGAAATTAGTAAATCATAGTGTGATACTATCCTTAGTCCTTAAGAATAGATCAAGTTGCCTCTTAAAGGACTCCTGGGAAGTCGCTTGGACTAGCTCGGACGGCAGCGAATTCCAGCATTTGACAACTCTTAAGGAGTAGAAGTTGTGCCTACAGTTCGTTCTGCTATGTTGTGTCTCCAGTTTTTGGGTGTTACCTCTTAGGTTAGTGTTGGAACTAAGCCTAAGTAGGTGTTTGCGAGGATGTCCAGAAGTGTTAAGGATACTATAAGCCATCAGAAGGTCACCTCCAAGACGTCTATACTCTAATGGGTAAGGGTTAAGTGAATGAAGGCGCACTTCATAAGTTTTAAATTTGAGTCCTAGAATTGATTTCGTGGCTCGCCGTTGGATACCCTCCAGGGTGTCCTTATCCCTTTTGGGGGAGGGGGAAATATTATGTTTCCGTACTCTAAATGAGGATGAATAAAACTATTGGAGATTATATAGAAAGTTCTTCCGTCAAACTGGCCAAAAATGCGCTTCAATGTTACTAGTGCAAGGTTTGCTCGGAAGGCATTATTGTCACAGTTAGCGTAAGACTTTAAATCGTAGCGCACCAGGACTCCTAAATCTTTTTCGACTTGGGATACTACTAGAGAGGCGTTACCTAAGTTGTAACTGTAGTCTGCAACATGTCTCAGATGAACCACGTTATAGTTTGAAGTGTTAAAGGTAAGTCCGTTGTCATCTGCCCAACTTTGAAGTCGAGTCAGATCCTCCTGAAGTGTCTGTATATCGTCTTGGTTGCGTATCTCTCTCCAAAGTTTCACGTCGTCGGCAAAAAGTAATAAGTCTGACGTTACCTGTTGAGGAAGATCATTTATGTAGATCAAGAAGAGAAAAGGTCCTAGTACTGAGCCCTGGGGGACCCCACTAGGACATTCCATAGCCTGAGATAAAGTGAAATTAAAACTGACCTTAAAATGTCGATTTTTCAGGTATGAAGTGAGCCAATCGATTAGAGGTGGTTTGATACCCAATCGTTTGAGCTTATTGATAAGACATGTATGGTTAACCTTATCAAAAGCTTTTGAGAAATCTAGGTAGATGACATCAACCTTCCTCTTGAGATCGAGGATGCTTGTCCATCTGTCCGCCGCAGTCAGCAGGTTGGTAATACAAGAGTAACCCTTCCTGAAACCATGCTGTTTGGGTGATAAGAAGTTTAAGGACAGTAAATAGTCGTGCATACCATCGCATATCAGAGACTCCATGAGTTTTGAAGGTATAGGGAGAAGAGCCACCGGTCGGTAACTTGAAGGTTCATTGCGTCGACCTCCTTTGAAAATTGGTGTGATGTGAGCCAGCTACCAATTTTCCGGTAGTTTTCCTCGACTTAGCGAGTGTGAGAACATCATGCTAAGCTGCGTTGCCAGGATTGAGGCCGCCTCCCTCAGTATGGCAGGATGAACCATATCCGGGCCAGGAGAAGTATCTAGTCTTAAGTGCTGCAGTTTCCGGAACACCAAGTCAGCGCTCAGGTTCACTACGGAAAATCCTGTGCAGTTGCAAATAAAGCTATCATCAGTATAGTTGACGTGTGTCGGTTGAAATGTCTGGGAGCAATGTTCAGCCAGAAGATTAGCGGCGTCGCCATCGTTGTTGGTCGGACCGTTAAGACCTGCCATTTGGGAAACTCCAGTTTTAGCTTGACGAAGAGAGGCTGCATAACGGAATAAGCTTTTAGGATTGCGGGCAAATTTGTTTATAAGCTTTGTCTGGTACTGAAGCCTATCTTCTCTTATAGCCTTCGTGCATATGTTCCTGTTATTTTTATATTGCCTGTACGCTCCGTCGTTGTCAGTTCTTTTGTATTCCGCCCAACAGTGCCTTTTGCGGCTTAGCAGGCGACGGGTAGGGTTCTTGATTATTGTAGGTGGCTTGCAGCTTTTGGGAACCGTTTGAGGGACTGAATGGTTTGTAGCACGTAAGAGCGTGTGCAGTAAGAAGTCCCAATGACCGTCCACTTTGAGTTGGGGGTGAACATCCCCAACCACCTGTTGTAGATAGTCGTGTAGAGCTGTCACATTTAACCGTTTAAAATTCCAACGCAAGTTATTGGTGGGGTATCTTAGCTTAGTTTTGCTGACAAAACTGAAGGCTATGACAGCATGATCGCTTTTTCTCAGGGGAGCCAGGATTGGGAGGTTGTCAACTAGAAATTCTTCGTTTTTGAATACATAGTCTAAGCGCGATGGTGTCTGATTGTTTCTTCAACGAGTTGCCGACCTCACATTTTCGAACAATCCCAAGTCATCGATGAGGTTGAAGAACCGAGCTTCAATTGAGTTGTCGCCTCCAGTATACGTGTGTTCCGCCAAGTTGACTCTAGGGAGATTAAAGTCCCCTAGAATCAGGATGTGTGTGAAACCGAGACGAGTAGAGCGGGATAGTCCTTACAGCATACGACTATTGTACTCGATGTCGGCAGTTGGCTTCCTGTAAATGACTTCGTCTAGACACCTCGAAGTACTTGACAATCTTACAGAGCACCATATCGATTCCTCAAGATTGTTAAACTCGAGGTTATGAACTTGGCGCACCTCCAAGCAAGGACGTATGTAAACAGCTACTCCGCACCCAAATCCTGATTTTCTGTCATTGCGGAACAAAGACATCCCAGGTAATGCTAACTCATGGGCCGAGAACTGAGAAGATATCCAGGTTTCAGATATTCCTATCAGATGGGCCTTGTTAGCATTGCTAAGTTCACGTAGTTCATCCAATTTGTTTGGTAGACTCGCGGCGTTCATATATAAGCAGTTTATGCTTTCAATTTGAAACGCGTGAGCTTCTTTCTGTTTGTCTGTATGAGCCTTATCTGAATGGACAGGTAGCCCACCTATATGAGGTTTGCCGAGGTGGTAGGCCCTGTCCTTTACACGTTTTTTTAATCGTCTAGACAGTTCACAAGTGGAATGATCAGCTCCAACTTGCCTTTGTGTTTGGTCCTAGCTTCATATGGCCTATCCGGGTGCATGTGGATTCCAGGTGGCAGTCGACGTCTGTTGGCACGAAATGCTTCCAGAACTGCAGCCGCCACATGGGAAGACGGGAAGGTTATCTTCATTAGACGAGGTCTAGAATCACCATCCTTCTTGGCTAGTCTCGTCACATGCTGAGTCAGTATGTTTTTGAGCCTCAAGGACTGTTTGATGAATTTCCATTCCCTGATGTCAGACTTTGATTGAGTAGGGTCCGTATTTTCCAGTATACCTTGCACGATTATATTCCTCCCGCGGAAAAACTGATCGCGAGTTTCTTCGGGGATTTTCCGGATGAGATTGCACTCAGAATACGGTATGTCAGGCAGTATTCTTACATTCCCATCTGACTTCAGTAAATGACTCGCTAGTAAGACATCCTCTATGTCGGTAGCATTCTTAAGTGTTACACGAAGTAGCCTTGGGTGATTTTGATGCTTAGATTCCTTTCTTCGAGTGAGCCGTGTGACTGTCAAAGGCTCTATTCT